TACTCTTCTTGCTGTTGCTATTTTTGGATGCATCTATGATCTTTGTTGTATTGGCGGAATGCGACTTGTTGGCGTTTTCTTTTTCATGCGATCCCTGTAAGGGTGGATCACGAAATTCGTCGGGTGGCAGGAGGTCATCTTGAAACTGTTGAGGTGGTGGCACTCGCACATTTTCCAGCGGTGCATTTTCTTTCAAACTGACCAAATCAAAATCGGATTTAGATTTTTCATGTTTAGCATGTCGCGAGCGTTCTCTTCGGGAGGGAATTTCCAAGTCATCGGTCTCCGTTGACTCGCCATTTGGTAAATGTTGTAAATGCCGACGTAAATGCATTTCGGTTCTACTATAATCCGGCTTCATTTTCAGTGTTACCGATGACACTTTGCGATGAATAGATACTTCGTTGCTCGCTCCGTTGGTTTTATGGTTTTGACTCGTATCGCGTTTCGTTGAATTGTGTTTTTTGATGGTTTTTTGATTTTGTTGATCTAACAGTTGTTGCAGTTTAAGACGTAGCTGCTCACCGTTGAGCCGCGTCTCCATGCCATTGATATGTGCTTGTTCTTTCTTCACGTTTTTCTCATTGTTCGTGATGGTTTCGGGACTAGAGGGACCAAGCGAACTGCGTCGACTAGAGACCCAACCGCTCTCCTCACTCAATGATGATGTGGAATTGCTCAGCACAAGTTTGCGTTTTTGGCCCGATTCAGAGTTGAACTGTGGTGGTGGCGCCAGATTTGGTAGCGACTCGCTAAACCCGCTGGTATTCTGTTCGCTGCTAGTATTGTTTAAGGACTCAAGTTTAAAGGGCACACTCAGCGAAGATAGCATTTTATGGTCGCTACTTTTCGATGAATGCACTTTGGAGGCTATATCACTTTCAGAGCTACTTGACTCCTTCTTCAAAGTACCGTTCTTCAACATTTCCTTAAGGTCGGACACTCGGACTCGCGCAATCTCAACTGAACGCGGTATGGTCGACGATGAGTTCGTTTGGATGTTTACATCGCCTTGAGACCTCTGGCGTAGTGCCTGTGAGGAGCTACTGCGCGGTATGGTGTGTTGTTGTTGAGTTGCTGTCAATGTGGGCTTTGGCATAACCTTGGTGCCGTTCTCTAAGCAGCCGTTGATTTTCTTCGACTTGATTGGAGGATATGAGTTTCTCGGTGGAATCAGTCCATTTCCATTGTATTTTGGCAACGAATTGTAGTGCGAGCAAAGCGTTAGCTGCTTTGGCGAATTTAGCATTCGTATTTCATGCAGATAGTCGAACTTACCGGCGCGTTCGCTGGTATTTAATTGGCGGTTCAAAGTGCTTACCACCGACCGGCTACAGCCATTCAAACTCAGATTGTTGGCGTGCGGGGTGCCATTGCCATTCAAATACAATTTTTGTTCGCAACGTGCCCCGTCCTCACAGTTCTTGTACTTCTGTCGAAATTCCGAAATGTTGCGCATGAGATCTTCAGCTTGTGTTTTGTGCTTCCGCGAGCTCGACTGATCGACTTTATTAGCCAAACTAGAAACACTGGCGCCATCACTGAAGTGCTTATAATTAGACTCCGATTGCGTTTGCGAAGAATGCAGATTAAGCTGTTGTGTATGACTGTGAGTGCGAAGAGATGGAGTACTGTGAACTGTACCGTCTAGCTGGTCCAAAGACTTACTGTGACGTGTTGGTAATGTACCGTTCGTATTATAGTTGTATTCATTAGCTGCCTCATTATTATCACCATCTTCGAGTAGACCTGTGACGGAGTGTCGTGACATCTGCCGTTGATTAAGAACGTCGGTGGCCGGTGCCTTTGCAGCTGCCGTCGTTGCAATGGTCAAACTCGCCTGCAATATTTCCCCACCTAAGGCGAATCGTGGAGTAAGCACTCCTGCTACACAGCCAGGGCTACTCTGATACTCAAAATTAACGGTACATGAACATTCCTTGGAGTTCGAACTGCGTCCGCTCAGACTGTTCACCGAATGCGTTTTATCGAGCATGCAGGTGGGCGGAGGCGGTGGTTTGGGCGTACTGCTGCCACAGGAGCTCACCAGACTCTCGTGACTATTCAAATGCGGATCGCTGCCGGTGCGTCTACGTGTATAGCTCGGTGGTTCCACGTAACGATCCTCAAATATCAGCGGCAATGAACTGGCGTCGCCATCAATGGGTGTGCAATGTACCGGCAGCGGTGGCAACGACTGTAAATAGCGACTGCGGCGTGCCATTTCGGCGATGGCTACATAGTTTTGGTAGTTACTGTCGTAGCAACCAGCCGCCGAATGGCGCGGATTTTCGTTGACAAAGAAACCTTCGGCGAAGCGTTGCACTCGCAAAATGTGGTGCTTCTTGGCAAGTAGAGTGTGCACTGCGGACTGAGATGAGGCGAGTATAACGCGTCGCCAAAACATTATGCATTCGGCGCATAGCTGGGCGATGTCGGAATTGGCACGGATTGCAAAGTCCTCCTCGGTATCATGCAGCTGTAATAGATAGTAATAGATTTTTATAAGTTCTGGTCACATTTGCGCAGTCTCAACGACGGGGTAGACCTACCTTGGCTTCTTCGGTAAAATGCTGTAAACGCTCGGAGGCATCATTCTCTCGTAACGGTGGTGAGCCGATTTGGTTATTCATGCTCTTCGTCAGCACTGCACTGAACTCATTGAGAGTCGCTTTCAGATTTTCGATGGCGCCCAACAGTAGACTACAGATTTCATGATGTATCTGTCGCGACTGCAAAAGACGACCGGCAGGTCCGCCGCTGCATTTGGTGGTACCCACAATTTGTGGGCCGAAAAAGACAGCCTCTAGTGGGCCGGGCGACATGCTGCCACGACAGTTCAATTTGCCGCTCCAGGCTTTGGAGCTTTTGGGTGCGCTGTGATTAAAAGTTGCTATTAGTGATTTTGCAGAGCAACCAAAGAAAAAGCCAATGTTTTGTATTTCGCTAAACGAAGCTTTAATAATTTTTGTTTACGATGTTTTGACTGGGACACACACACCTACACGTAAGTTTGTCTAATTATTGCTCTCTAAGCACAACATAAATGCCGACTACAAAGTTTTAGTTAAAATGCTAACAAAGTGGCAGAGAAATTTGCGCTACAAAATAAAAAAAAAAAAACATAAAAAAATAAAACGCTTCTAAAAATAGAAATGAAATGGTAACCAAAGTAAGATAGACTACATTCATTTTGCTCCCACTACTGTTACAAACTTAGATTAAAAGTTCATTCACAACTAAAATCAAAAGAAAATAGGGGTTCGAGAGGAAAGCAAAAACAACTATTTAGTGAAAAGAAAATAAGAAAACTATAACTTTGTGATATGAAAGGCGGAGAAAGTCTTACCAGAGTTTAATGTAACGGAAAATTGTTTTCCTTTTTTTTTTTTGTTTGTTATCGATGGTAAGCGTTCATGAGGAGGAAGTCCAAACAAAAACAAAAACAACGTTTGTCGAGAATATGCGAATTTTGCGAGTAGGTACATTTTATGTGAAATGTTGACGATTTGGGCCAGGTTAGGTTTGTTTTTGATTTTGGTTTTGATTCGTTGGGTTAAAAAAGTAGTTGGAAGTAGAACTTAAGTTAGTAAAAATTATATTTGATTATGTAGAAATAAGTATGTAGCATATTTTATGTATTAAATGTATGAATTGGGTATTGAGAGAAAATATTTGATTATCAAAAAACTACGAACTTGCTTCTTGGAGTTAGGGCTAAGCTTTTGAAAACAGCAAACTGATACCTTGGATTATAAAGCAAATAAATTCTACTGAAATTTTCTTCAAGGGTTTAAGAACAGTGGAGGTAAAAGGTGAACGGTCGTGCTTATACTTAGAAAATTCTCCTGAATTTGAAAAACTTAAATTCTAAACAGTTCACGGATGGAAGTTAAAAAAAATGCCAAACATTGCATACAAAAAATATTGAGTCACTGAAAATCTTTGAAATCGGGCAATAACCACGCCCACTTCCCATATACTGAAATAGTGCGCTCCGTTTGGAAAAGTTTGGAGCTTTTTTGTAGGCTTCTTAACCCTTTGCTGTCACTTTTAAAAAATTATTCTTATTTATTTACGTACCATAATCACCTATAAATCAAACATTTCAGGGTTTGCAGAGTGGTGTCACAAGATTTCTTCTCTTATATATTTAATAAACATATTTTGGCAAAGGCAGATCATGTGATGATTGCACAACTCGGCCGACTCCATTCCAAAACACAGTATGCAACATTTCCTGGAAAAATCGGGTTTTTATAATTTGGGATATACTGTGTTTAGACACACCTTTTAACTAGGCCTATTTGTTGATAGCTGCAAGATTTTCGGAGATACGACACAGTATCTACACAAATTTTAATATTTTCCCATTCCAAAAAAAAGTAGCTTTTTTCTCTACATCAATTTAATTTTTAACACTTACTGTGTTTTGGAATGAAGCAGCCAAACTCGCCCAATTTATCGAGACATTTCAGCACGAAAGAAAACATATGAATACCCCTGAAGCTTTTAAGACTGCCATAGTGATTCTTACCGACCTTGGGAAGCGGCGGCAGTTAGCCTCCAATTGTATGGTGTGTAAGCAAGTGTAAGCGTCGCAGTGAAAATCTTGTTCAAGGTCGCCAACAAAAGCTCAGCTTCTTTGAGTACTACAAAATATATCTTGCCTCTTTTCCATGCAGACCGAGTTATTTGAGGCCATAAAGAGGTTGAATAGCACATCTTTTGGCATCTTCACTCAACACAATTCGGTCCAAACTCTTTGCACCAAACCATAGTGACTGTCACACTCGTTTCGCTTCCAAAAGAACAGAAAATGTCTAACCCCTTGTCGCCGTGAAGGAGCCATCAGCCCTTTTGAGTGAACCCTGCTCAGTGGCTTGTTGTTATTCAAAAAAATTTACCAACCTGGCAGCATGTACCGATAACGCAGTAGTGTTCTTTGAACGAAGCTCTTTTCGAGAAACGCCTTTGCTTAAGGAATGATTGCACTGCCCAGTAAGTTGCTACTTAAGAGTCAATTAGAGTGCGCAGGCGCTATTTTGTTGAGCTAAATACTCTTAGGTATGAAAGTTCTATATCTTTTATTTAAATGCCTTGATTTATAGAATAACTTATATAGTTCAAAGTACGCCAGACAAAGCATCACAAAACTTTTCCCGGTGTTCGTCGATAGTTTCCTCAAACACCCACTGCCCCTTGACCTCCACTGTATTCATGTAGGTACATCGGAAGCCGGAAGCAGAGGTACTGGCGTTAATTCAAATAATTGCGTAAATTCTGGCTTAACTTGACAACTTAATCCGGGTACCATCTTTTTCCGATTCTGATAATTTGTTGAGTCTATTCAAGTGATTTATTGCAATTTATTTAGGCGGAAGGTAGTTTTTTTTTTTTGTCAAAATCTACTTGTAGGATAGTAATACTTGATGAAATAGCAAAATAACAACAACAACAACAACAATTTCCAGCTCGGTGCAACACAAGATTAAAGAGAGTACCAAACAGATTAAATGTACACTTGAGTTTTTACAGGCAGGCGTGTTTGTTGCCTTTATTTGCAAGTACGAACTTTGTGTAGTTCGTAGCCTCGGTGGGCAACTGTAGTGATAGAGCAGCAAATGGCAGTGCGAGCATACAAAAAGTTTACAAACTACGAGTATACATACATATGTACATACATATGTATGTAAAAATGTGTGAAATACAAACTTTTTCAGCATCAGACGTCGCAAAATTTGTATACGCCATGGAAAGTTGAAAGGAATAACTTGTGGTAAGGCTCTCATTTGTCGTCTGCATCCATATATTTATTTCAGTATACATACATATGTATATGTATGTAGACATGTTTGCGCACGTGAATGTGTGATCCAATAGTATGCACAAAGCAGAACAGTATGGCGGCGTAACGCAGCGCAGCGGCAACAATTGATTTAAGTCATTAAAATTAATTGCAAAACAACTAAGGAAGTCAGTGAGTCGTTATGCCGGTTGGAAAGGAAACACAAAATAGGATTAGAGGCAATAGGATGTACTATGTATGTATAGTGGTCCACAAAATAATAGGAGTGCGTTATTTTGGTCAGTTTTTGTTATTTGTCTATTGTTTATTTAATGTTTATTATTTTTATACAAATCTCAAGCTGGGTATACAACAAACAACGAATAAATTCAGATTTCAACCTTTGTACAAAAATTATTAAAATTCTGTAAATTTTCACCAAAATATCAAACTTTTTAATAAGAATCTTCAGAGAAAATTCTGGTATGCAGTTTTATAGCCCATTCAATTCTAGTCTGAAGAAGTGCAAGTTTCAAGCTGCTAAAAAATTCCGTTGATTTTTGAGAATTTTTTCGGTTGAAGGTGTTTCACGTTTTTTCCATACAAAGTATGTTCGACAATTTTCTTTTATATGGGGACAGTGCCAGCAAAAAAAATTGCCAAAAATCAACGGAATTTTTTAGCAGCTTGAAACTTGCACTTCTTCAGACTAGAATTGAATGGGCTATAAAACTGCATACCAACATTTTTTCTAAAGATTCTGGTTAAATAGTTTGAAATTTTGGTGAAAATTTGCAGAATTTTTATAATTTTTGTACAAACTTGAAAATGTAAATTTATATGGTGTTTGTTGTATTACCAGCTAGGCTTTTACAAAAAAATACGAAACATTAAATAAACTAAAGACAAATAGCCAAAACAGGTTAAAATATCCCACTCCTATTATTTTGTGGACAACTGTATGTATGTATGTATGTATGTAAATGAAGTGAGGGCAGACATGCCAGAGACAAGAGCATTACCAAGGATTCGCATTGCTATTCAGATGCATGCAGCCATATTTGCTCGTCGGTCGGTCGGAGGTTACACGTGGCTTCGTGTGTGTGTGTGTAGGAGGTTTTTTGTTGTGACAGCGAATGGAGACTGCTGCTGCGTAGGCTGGCCATGCGCCACTCATATTTTGCATACTCGTATGCACACACATACATACATATCTCATATCTCATGCGATGCTAATGAGCGCTGATGTGTGGCGCATGGCCAGGACAGAGCAGAGCACACGCGTACGTAAGAGTTTTAATGAGCTGCAAATGTTTCGTCTATTTTTTTTTTACCATTTTTTGCGCTGGTCCCAACTTCCAGCGGTTTTTGTTTTTTTTTGTTTTTGAGGAGCCAAAGTATGTATATGGGTGATGATATGTTGAAAGTAGCAAGCGCGGCTGGTATTCATGGTATGAATTTTAATTTTTTATTAGTGCACGTGCACTTAGATACAGTTGTGTGTGTGGATGTTCGGAGACAAGCATTCGCGAATTCAAATTGCGGTTTGCTATTACAAACATATGTATGTTTTCTGTACATATGTAGATATGTACATATGTATGTATGTATGTATGTATCCATGTTTGTCAGTTTGTCTATGAGAATTTTCAAATGAGTAAGCAATGGCTAGATGCGCCCATTAAAATGGCATTTGATGTTTTAAAATGCACGCCCACACATATCTATAACACATACATACATACATATGAGTGTATGCAACTATGCAGGTGTAATTGTGAATTGCAGCAATGCAGCCACAAATGCCACATTCACTGCCGTCAGTAGTTCGGTTCGTGCCCGCTCAATGACCACGACAGGCGTGGTTGGTTGGTTGGTTAGTTTGTTGGTTGCTAGATGCTGGATTTGATAATCTTGTACGTACGTACATATATACATACATACATACATACAAGCATTCGTATGCACATATGTATAATACCGGATTGTGCGTGGTTTTGCCCTTTAAACTCATTGGCTTTTTTTTTGTGTTACTTGACTCGTCAACACGTTCTTTCCTTATCCCACCCACCATCGATCGACCTGCTGTCAAACCCAATTTGCCCAGTTTCTCACTCAACACATTCACACACACACACACACACACCTCACATGATACTCACTTTATATAGGGCTGATGCAGCGCCACCAAACTAGCATGGATGCCAACGCTAATGGCGGCCAAGTGGAAGTAATCGAATAGCACCGGCAGATGGTAGTGCAGCCCTCGACCTGGATGGAAATTCAGCTGTAAGGTGCGTGTAGAGGCCAACGATAGTGCGCTGGTGCCATTCTGTTCACCAAACCACAGTTCCAATTGCAATGAGAACTCAGCACGTTCAATGGATTCCTTCAAGTGACGGCTGTCGACTGCAAAAAAAAAAGTGAAGTGAAAAGAGAAAATCGAAAATTAAATACATACTTAAATTGTGAAGAGGATTTGAATACGAAATGAAGTTGCTGTTCATATGAAATGAATTATTTAAGTACTATGATTTCTTGAGATAATTAGCAATACTAATTGAATGATTGAGGTAACGAAAGGGAGTGTAAATGAAAAGCGGTTAGAGGAAAGTGAGGTGGTGAATAAAAGGGGAAAATACTTTACGTTGCATTCGGAAAATTTAATTGAAATTTTTATCTTCTTATTTTTGACCACCAATAATTTTTTAGAAGAAAGTATTTGTATTTACCATGAGCAGAAATGTGATTTTTTCGCCAATGGTTTTAATTTGAACGTGGCAGTGAACTATTTTTCTTTTGAGCGTCGTCATTTTAAAACTGAACTGCATTTGAATTGAAAATCGCGATTTGTTCACGACATCTAATTTCCCCTTGACCAAGTAATTTAGACTAGATAGGTTAGGTCAAGCAGAGATCATGGAGATTTAAAGTGTTTCCAGAAAACTTGCGAGCTGACAACTTGGCTTATCCCGTCTTTAAAAACATTAATTTTCTTAGCAAACTGGAACAACGTTGTATGAGTGAGGACCAAAACCTGCTAAGATGATGTGCTCCACAGTCTTCTCATTCACACCTACGGAGCTCCGTGGCGGTTTAAATACCGTAGATCCTACTCCCTTGTCCCATCCGAGTTAGCCATACTCCCGCCATTATTTGATTCCCCGGCTCACTGGGTCTATTCGTCCAGGAATTGTTGACATTATGCTATAAGTAGTAATCGCGAAGCCTGAATACAAACTTGCCTGTGGCAATCATTTTGGCAGCAATTTTGAACGCTAGATGTTTAGAGTACTAAAATCTGCGTAGTTGGTGTATATAAGTACTCTTGTGAGTAAGGTTTTCTTCTTAATTGCTGTACACCAAACTAGAGTACCACGGAAAAATATCAGCCTGACCATTGCCGTGAAGATACAATAGAAAATGATAACTATAGACCCTAATTGCACAGAGTGGAACCGCGGCTTACTCAGCCCCTCTACTACGTTGCGTCGTCACTTAAGTTTGCTATCGAGATGTATGTACTTATTCCGAGACACGGTCCATCTCGATTTGGCATAGACCAGACCGGATTCTAATATCTCCTACGAAAGAATATTAAGTCTGTAGTTTTCGGACTATGTTGGGTACTGCTGTGCCCTTGAGTGAGCTAGGTATGGACAGACATTTCCTACTTACGGACGCAGTTGTTATACTCATGGTCTTAAGTTCGGTGGGTGTTTTTTCTATTTTTTAGTAGCTTCTTGGTTATCAGCACCAAAGTAGTGCCTACAGTACGCTTTCTTGTGACATTTACTTTCAAACCGGTATGTTAGTCAAATAAATACTCCAGCACGTGCAGTGTCCATTTTAAAAATACAGCGTGTACATTTATTGATACTCCTTCTAAGATGGTTTCACTAAGTAAGTGACATTAAAGGACTTAACAGTGATATTCTCTTTGTCACGATGCAGAGAAATAAAGGCAGCATCTGCTTGTCTACTCATGATCAGAATTCAATATTCCGTGAAAATCTGCCCTCTCTCAGTCAGTGTAATCTCTTATTCTATCCTTCTTGCCTCTTCAATTATTTCATAAGCGGCCGCTGGGATCGGTTCAAGCTAACATAAAAAAAAGTTTTTTGTAATAGCGGTCACCCCTCGGCAGGCAATGGTAAACCACTGAGTGACATGAAAAACAGCTTCTCATAAAAATACAATCGCCGTTCGGAGGCGGCGTAAAACTATAGGGACCTCCCTTTTTTGTGACAACATCAGAGGAGAAGCTCGGCCAAACACAAACATACATATTTGTAAGCGCACCTGGCGCTGCCCTTCATGCTCTTCTACACTTTACCATCGCTTTCCCCCTAGCGTGGAGAGGCATTACGGCCACCTGCAGGCTTTAAATAAATGGATTTTGGTATGATACAGATTGGAGTGAGGCAGTAATCTAGACACAAGTGTCTTTTCAGTGCCTAAGGAATGTACACCACCATTACCTTTTAAATATGAGGATATTATACAAGGTTGAGTAGTCTGAGGATGAATGCGGACTTAATTTTAACATTCAGCCCGGACTCACACACTATCGAACCTTCACTGATCGCTTTAAAACTAAGACTGGGTCAGGATATTGTGTCTGTATCGAAGATAATGAGGATGAGATTTGCTTTTCTCTTGGGGAATAAGCAGAGGTATTTGAAAGCCTCAAGGCCATGGACATCGTGGGGGAAACTAGGTAGAGATAAAGGACAGCCATGTTGCACTCAAGGAATTGGCCAGTCTTCTAACTACTTCCAGACTAGTTCGGCAATGCAAGTCTCGACTAAATTATGTTCGAAAATAGAACTAACTTGTCTTACTCTGGATGCCAGGTCAATCGGTGGTAACTGGTAATGAGGTATCTGACCATTTGGCCAGAGAGGGCGCAGACCAGGTTTTCTTCGCTCCGCATACAGTTATAGCACTCCCCCCTTCGTCCATCAAAATTACCACCAGAAACTGGATCCATATTTTCTCTCACCCGTTGTTTGGTAAATTTAGTTCCGACAAAAAAAATTGTATGAATTAAATGCGCTAGTTGCAACCTCTGCGGAGCAGATGCTGCTACCAATCGAACATTGAGTTACGAGACATGGTGCTAAAACTATATACATACATTTAGTCACATCTGATATTATATTAGATATTTTTCTTTGTGCGAGTGAATCTAGCTCTTAAGATGGTAGATTTTAGTTATATTTATATATACACAAAGTCGGCTTCTTTTGGCTTAAACAAATTATTTCATACGGCAGTTGAAAATTGCGTAGGTATGCTAAGTAGGAAAATGAAATAAGTAAACAGAACAAGAGACTTCGCCATCCATCTAATGCTGCATACTTACGAGCGCACTATTTGCTCACCTTGAAAATACCCAAATTTAGCAATGAGTGAAGAAGCAAGAAGCTTTTGAAAAGTTGAGAACCAACTTTAATGTCAAATAAGTAAAACTTATAAAAATCTCAAACTTTAATCACACAGATTACTAGTTTGTATTTGCAGAAAGCTAAATGCATGTGTTAGTGAATATCTTAGGTGTTTTAGGAAATATGTAATTTCAGCTGGCGGAAATTTTCACATTCATGTCCTTCAGACAATCTTAAGTTTTTGCTGACTAAAAAATAATCTCGAAATCCGAACGAAAGTGTTGCAATATTTTTGGCAAATACTTATTCAACATTTCTCTTCTCGATATGTCGTAGAGATTTTACTTTTCTAAAAATTGAATCAAACATTGCAGACGACTTAAGTTGTCATCTCACTTCATTTTTTTATTTCATTTCATTCACCTCAGGGATGTGTGTACTATTTGCTTTCCACAGATTTGTCTTGGCAACGTCAACAACAAAGCAACGACGACGTGGGCCCACTTAACTGCGCGCATTCATGGTGAGCCGCATAAAGGCCCTACATCACACGTGTATGTATGTATGTACATACTTAATATAAAGAATCTGATACATACTTATGTATGTATGTGCATAAATTTGTTATTTAAGAACTTATGTACATTTACGCTAAGTTATGTATGCATTTATGCTAAGAGAGAATTTATGTAGGAATGTATCTCGCTGGCATCAAATTTCTTGTCTTTCATACACTTTTGTTCACACATATGTATGTATGTACGCTTGTTAACTGCGTTTAATATAAAATAGTATAAACGCAAAGATAAAATAGCAGAAACAGCAGATAAAACGTAAAATATGCCACTTGCATGAAAAGTATCTGTCTGTCATTCGGTCTGCCGGTCTCCAATTGGAATACTTTGTACTACGTCTAATACTTATTCATATGGAGCGAATATATTCACATATGTATGTATGTATGTATGTATGTATGTATGAAAATGCGTCGACTGCACGCGGTCTTCTTCTATCAACCGCCAACAACACCAACAGTTTCATCCAACTATTGTATGTATGTATTTTTAGAATACTCGTAGCAACAACTACAATGCAAATAGTAGCACTTATTCTAGGAGTAGTACTTCTTATGCCCGAGTACCGGATGAGTGTTTCAATATGTAAATTCATTTAATGTTTCCCTTCTCTAAAAATATAAACATACTTACATACATATGTTTGTATGTACGAATGAGTAGATATGTAATTCAAGTACAACATTCATTCAACTTAGCAGGCATTTACGACAAATTAACTACTTCACTAAAGAAGTTGGAAAATATTTTTCGTATCCTCACATATCCGCTATAAAATTTTTCTTCGTCTTTTATTTTAAGAATATTTACATGTTTGTGTTTGGGTAGTATAGCTTCATGGGTATTTTTCGCAGATTCGCCGCATTACGATATCTATGTATATTTAAAGCCATTTAGGCAGTGAAAAACGACGTAGCCATTTTCCTTAACTTAAAATCGTCGTTGTCTTTTGAGTATACAGTTGCTGTAAGTGTTACAATTGCATTAGGACATATTCGATTTTCCAAAAATTTTAGCCTGAAAAAATGTCCAAAATCGTGTTTTTCTCATTATCAGATTTGCGGTCTATAATCCCTACCCAAAGTTCTTCTTTTCTACTTCTATGGCCGAATTAAGGGGTCAGGCGATCCGTAAGGATGAAGGATCAACCAGGCTGGAACTTTTCGTACATTCGCAAACGAAGTGGTTCTGGTACGGAAGGAGGCTACTCAGCCGTAATTGGTTATGGATGATCTCTGCCCGGGTGGTCAACTCCCTTTTTCCACAACTCGTACAAAAGAAGTCGACAGAAAGAACCAACTTCGCTTCAACTCGGCCTATGGCCACACCGGAATCTCCTATGACAGAACGAGGTCCCAATGAAGGCAGCCGAGAGTTGAAATTGCACCCAACAGCATCAATGGCAGACTCCCACCCGGTCTGGAAAATCCAAAGGCTAGTTTCG